ATTAGATAGTGACCTTGAAACCTACACATCAATCAATAGTTTGTTCTAATTTACATTGATAAGTTGTCTATCAAACGGGTAAGTGGTAACTTGATGAAAAAAATCCTATAGCTATATTTTGTTGAGATGTGTGTGATTTATAACTTCCTTATTATATTGTAATGGTATAAAAAATTACAATAAAACATTCATTCATGAAAATGTCGAGTATGCCAAAGTAACGGAAACACCTCGCTCGCGACAAGTTTCGCCCGATTCCCCGCGACAATTTCGGCACATTTGACGCCCTTATAGAGTTTGGGAAAAAAAAATTGTGAATCCTTTATTTTGGTAGAATTAATTAAATACTTGACATAACTAATTTGTGTATTTTTTATTTTAAAAGCTTGGTTTGTTTACAAAATCCTCTACTATATTAAATTACCTTTGTAAATCTATTCCCGATGCTATAAATAGGTAAACTTGTATCCAAAAGAATGTCGTCTATTGTGAAACCTAGAAGGTCTTAAATCTAGTATTATGGTGTAACACTAAAACATTTAGGTTTTACGTAAGTTTGTTGTGGCGCATATGCAACTTGCCAGTGACCCAGTTTCACGTTATCGTCTTAAAAACTTTCAAGAGAAATCAAGTGAATATCGAACGAAAAACTATTGTTTTTCTGATTATTTTTTATCGTAAAAAGGCCACAACATCGTAATAAACCACTTTCACTTAAATAGATAGAAGAAAGCATTACGTTAAAGAGTTTTTTTTATTATAGTTTATATCATTAATTTAAAAAAAATATGTCGATAAGAAATGTAACATTTTTTCTTTGTTTACAGTCACTGGCAATGTATAAACCGCATACATCCTCGAAAAAAAAATCATATTTAGTTACACAACACGTACGTAACGCCGGATGGATCGCGGTTCTTGAAGTCTCTTAAATTTAGCCAATCTTGCTCAATACCTTACGCAATTCCAGGACCAACGAGATGCATTCGAAATTTTGCAATTTCACGTGTTTCGTTATTCATCCGTGCACTTCACTGACCTACCATAAAATATTAAAAGCAAACATACGGAAAAAAACACAAAAACCTGTTTCCGAACAACGATTTATCATTGTTCAAGATATTTAGGTTATTTTCTAACCTCTTTTTTCATAGAATGTGATTGATTACATCAATTTTATTTCATCGCTTTTAATGGCACACTTTTTCACGTTAATAAATGTACGTAAATACGAATACATTAAGAATAACTTTTACCTTAATATTCTATGCGTAGATTTAGTAGTTATAAATCTGTTAGAGTCATACAGTCTGTGCAATTCGACAACGTTAAAATAATCGAAAGAAGTATACAAAACAGTATTTACCTTTCATAATTCTATAACGTTCGACCTAAATTTTAAATGGGTAAATTCCGTTACGTAATTAATATAGAAATACACTAATAAAAGCAGTGCATAAATGACCCATAAACGAACTAACGAATCGTAAATAATCTGTGGTAAGTTATAATAATCAAAATACTATAAAAACAGAGATTTCATTTCCACTTAACACTCAAAGTTCTCATGATTAGTCGGTCATAAAATTATTCGAAAATGTATTTGCTCTACCAAAACAAAACACAAATATATTGTCATCTCAGACTTTTCTTAAGCAATGAGAGGGACGACGATATCTTCTTGTAGTCTTTCGTCAGTGGAAATTGATGTTAAAATATTTTATTTAAACAAGTGAGCCAGTTGTGGCCGCGGTGGTCGGCGCCATTCTACATTTTTAATTATTTATAATGACAGCTATGATATACTGCGATTACTTTTTTGATTTACGCATATCTTTAGCGTTTCAGTTTTGAGACATTTATCGATGTATATTTTTAATAACTAGTTTTTTTTTAATTAGACATAAACGCTTTTCTTGATTCAAGCGTTGATATCTTTTACATTGGAAAATGTATTGACAAAATTATCAATAATTGATCCTTTCTAAACACATTTTGCAGTATAAAAATATTAATGTATACTAATATTATAAAGAGGGAATATTTGTATTTTTGTATATATTGTAAAATCTCAAAAACTACTTGTCCAATACCAAAAATTCTTACTCCAATGAACAGATTAATTCTCAGTGACATAGGCTGTTTTTTATTATTTTTTATATTCACGCAGACGAAGTAACGAGCAACGTCGTCGTTAATATTTTTTCTAAGGAAAAAGTCCCCCAAAACTTATGTATGTATGTGATCCATCCACAATTTGTGATATTATGAATTCTGATTTCCCGGTTAATATAAGAAAAAACTGCAAATCACACCTGTGCATCTTTTTATTGATAACCTTGGTTGTTTTGTGGGCGTGTTGTGGAGTTACAATGATCAGTTGAAGATCGGCGAAACTGTGCCAAGGCGATGGACCGCCCGTATGTTGATAACGTTACGCAGCCTTCTCCACTTTAGCCACAACTAATGGAAAAACAAACGATTAAAAATATTTTACAGTTGACACAATTTTTAATTCTTTGTATTATGATACTAGCTGTTCCCATGCGACATTATTCGCATAAAATTATGAAAATTTGATTTTATTGTTTGCATGTGTCAAATTATCAATTGCAAATGTCAAAATGATATGACGATGGCAACTTTGCTTTCATCAAGAAAGTTGGCAGCAATTTATGGTCTCATTCTCACATTAGGGTTTTTATCCAAAAAATTTACCCCCTAAGTTTAATGGCATGTTTTCAATATAAAGCCTAAAGCTTGACGTAAGTGTAGCGCTTTTTATTTATAAAAGAATTATTCAAAAATATGCTGTAATTGCTGACATCTTAGGCAACAAAGAAGTGTGTGTTTACACTTTATTATAATAGTATAGATGCATTTGTTTTGTAAATAAGGAAATATGAGTTCTACAACTCTTTTATTATCTTGCTTCCTACTAATATTATAAAGTTTAGATGGATGGATGTTTGTTAGAGTTTGTAGCCTAAACTGCTGAACGGATCTCTATGAAATTGGGCATAGATTTAGAGAATATTCTGGAAGAACACATAGGCAATTTACTTTTGTTTTTTTTTAATTCCACGAGGCCGGAGTCGCCGGCGAAAGCACTAGCTTTACAACTAATGTTTACTACAATTCTGTGCAACAAATAGGTCGAAGAAAGTATGGATGGATTGTGTGAAAGAGGATATGCTGATGTAGGGAATTTAAATATGACAGCTGATAGAGGTATGAAAGAGCAGCATATAATGTGCCGACCCTCTATAGGGACAACAGCATGTTGATATATTCTTTGTAAATTTTAAAGATACGTTTGCATATAATTCAATCAGTAAGCATCGTGTCGCATCTCTTTTTAACCTAATTTAGGTTGAACATTTTATTTTCGCAATTCAAAAACACATAATGCTAACTCAGTGCACAATGTGAGTACATTACATTAAGCGATAACACAAAGCATTGTATATTTTATAAACTCGAATACTTAATATTTTTTGCAAACAATTCGTTGGATATCAACAACATAAATATCAAGTCTTGGAACGTGTATTTGCGTAAATATCCGATACCTTTTATTTATTAAATTATTATTAACCACGCATATTAAAGTTTATAATTAAAAAACTACATTCCGATAGTCTTGTTGTTTATTTTTTAAATAGACCGGTCTATTTACTACAAAAACCTTAAATAATCCCTTAAATCATAGTAAACATAGACTGCATAATATTTTTATAGGTACGTGAAAGAGATGACATGATTTTTTGACCGACTTCCCAAAAGGAGGTACGCAATTCGTCTGAATATGTTACGGCATAACTCCGTCCCTGGTAGACCGATTTTGAAAATTCTTCTTTTATCCGATAGGTAGTGCTTGCAGATGGGTCCAATTTTGTTTAATTTTTGGAGTCAAAGACTACGGCTTAGTTAAATAGTTGAGCTCAAATCGCGTGACGAAAATTGGGGTTTTTTTATACACATCGTTTAGCAAAATAACAAGGATAAGACGAATAGAGGTTACATTTCTCTAGAATTTATCTCACTCGTTGACAAAACAAATAGTAGTGGTTGCTCAATCATGTTTATTTGAATATATTAAAACGGAATGCACCAGTGACACGGAATCGCGTCCCTGATTTGCTAACGTGGACCTGCATGGTACACTTTGACCATGTGCGTAACCCACATACGTGCGATTATACAACGAGAATAGGCCACATTGGCCTATTTACTACGCCTATCATGTCGCTCAATGTCAATTGTAACATCAATATGAAAGCACTGCTTTATCATCAGTTTAAAATACTAGCTTTCGTCCGCGACATAGCGTGGAATTAAAAAAAACTATGGGTCCTTCTGCATCAGTCTCCACGACTTTACTCTACAATTATGACAAATATCATCGAGTTCGGTTTAGACGGGAAACGCTACATCCATCCATCTATTTTACTAAATTTATGCATTTATAATGTAACTAAGATAAGGCTACTGTTAAAAAGGGTCGTTACTGTTGTCAAGTTATTTAAAAGATGTGACTTAAATTATTTTCTTTATATTTAAAATGCTTGTTATCTTGGCTAGAATTATATGATTTATAATTTCTCTTATGCTTACGGTTACTTGGATATGGTGATTTATCTGATAGGTTTAATTTTCCCCAATCGGTAAAGATGAAAGGGATTAAGTCTTTCAAAATTGTAATCAAGGTCATGGACAAGATTATTCTCAGTAACATCGAAGAGCAGTTTTACATTAAGGCATGACATAAATACCTGCCACTTTTGATGATTAATAATGTTGGAAAAAAAACTTTTAGGACAGTTTACAAGAAATATTTTCACCGGATTCGAAAGTGATTTGGTTAATTGTTGAACGTATCCGCGGACAGGTCAGGGTTTCGTGCGAGTCTAACATATGACATTGACAAAAACACAACACTATTGTATAAATAATATTTTCATGCTTGAGTTTTTGATTTCACTTTTTAAACATATGCCATGTCCTTATTTATTAGTGTTTTGAATATATTTAGATCTTTTTAACGTTCTTGAGATTTCTTAATGTAATAAATTAATGTTATTAACTCTATACTAATATTGTAAAAATGACAGATTTGTATTTTTTGGATTTATCTATGTATTCGATTCACGTAAAATCTAATGGGACGATTTTAAAAATACTTTCACCGTTAGAAAGATAGTTAATCTGCGAGTAACATAGGCTATGTTTTTTAATTTTACGCCGTCGAAGTCGCGAGTAACAGCTAGTCTTCAAT